GATGATGCCGTGATATTTATTTTTACTATTCAAGCAGTTTGTTAAATATTTAATTTTAAACTAAATGAAATTCAGTTTTAAGCTATAGTTAGTTAAGTTTAGTTTAACGAAGTCGTTGGTTAATGATATTATACTTTGTCAAAATAAATAACATTAACATAAACAGTAGTATGTTGCTGAAATTGAAAGTTTTCTTTTTAATTGTAGTATTTTTACAGTGAATTTGCAATGAAAATTTCGCGATTATAAGTACTTTAATCTTGTGTGGGCTGTTGTCGAGGTCACTGCTGGATTGTGTCAATTTCAATTTACATAGTGATAATGTTGTTTGTTAATATAAAAAGTAATATATGCAAGAATTTTAAGGTATGTATTAATAGAACCTAAATTTGTTTTTAAATAAAATTTAAGTTATTCGTTATTAAGACCTTTTACTTTATTCATCAACATCACGTAACTAACATGAATATATTATAAATAAAAGATATATTAGGTATATGATATTGTACATAATAGATTTTTTTCCTAAATTACTAATTGAAGTTTAGGTAAAATGATAATTGAATTAATTGAATATTTTTAATTAATTTAAATTCAAGAATATTTAGTGGTTATAATCAATTTTTTATTTTTCGCAGGTCGGTACTATGTATCGTAAGATCTTAGAAGAACCCTAATCCATTAGAAATTTATTTGATATCCTACGAACTGACACGTTTACTTAAATTTAACGTCCTACATTTCAACGTTAGTATTCAGAAAGTCTACCATTATCCTTATTTCGCCATTGCCTGTCGCAAAAACTAGCGTTATAAGTTAGTTTCGCATTCGGCGCCACTCGCGGCCGAGTCGAGGGGTCGCAGTAGCGTCGCGTCTAATGAGCGGCCGTGTTTGCCTCAATTGCACACAGCACTCTTACTCACCGCCAATTTATTTCATTTTTGCCTCTGATCGCACCTTATTGAGCGCCTTTTTCTCTTATTGCTAACGCGGCCATAATACACGTTCTGTTGCTTGCAAATGAGTCGCTAGGGACGCGTTCCTCAGGCCATGGTCATGACGTAGTTGAGAATAATTAAAATTTTCGCTTTCACCTATTTTTAGTGCATACCGGGCCCGACTCGTGCGAAACTATTCAGATTCACTTTTTGTGGCGCTCGTGTGCGTATACTTAACCATGCATACCGATATTCTTGCGTAGTCCTTTTTATAAGCGGCCCGCGACATAAAGACATAAATCAAAGAATTCACTACGCACGGACTCCGTGAATTAGAGTTGACGTTAATGTTCTCGGGAAATATGGCCGATGGTGAATATGAAAACATTTGCCAAGGCGATAGTGTTATGAGTAGAGGCGTCATTACAATAATAACAATCTCTGGTACTCTGCCAAGTGCCCGTCTCCGAAGACATGACACAGTATACATCCAGGGATATGCGTATATCTACGATGTACTTGAAATATTTCCGACGCTTTTCATATTTACGGCCGGATTAAAAAAAAGTATTAACTCGGAATTTATAACATAATTATACTTTGATCTTGAATAAAAAAGTTTCATAATATTTCAGTATATTTCCTAAGAGCTCCGTTATAAAAGTTTATTATGAGCCTGGCGTTAGTACGTGTACTGTAATACATTTTCCCATAGGATTCTTTTAAAGTCAACGAAAACGTCGATGCGACGTGTTCATTTTTGCTTGTTTTTGTAAAGTTTTATTGCGTTTCGAGCACTGGGGTAGAATCGTAAATTAAACGAAAGATCTATCAGTTCGGGAAGGAGTAAATCAAGGCGGACGGATTGCCCCTAATAAAAATTATAAGAGGCACAATGCCTCGAATGTGAGCCGAGACCGTCAGGAGCTGTAAACTCTCGCTATGTTTGTTTATGGTACACTAAAATATGTTATAAACTAGATAACTATAATCTTAATAAACGAACATAATTAGTAACTTTGTGTGTTAGTTTTTTTCATTTTCCTCCGACGTGGATACGATGCCTTGTCGCATTACGTTCAAATTAAACTGTTGATCGATTGAAATCAAAGTTTGACCTCCACGGACGATTCTAATTGGCATTCAACTCTTTGTTTGTCGAAAAAGAAGTTACCGCGCTTAATAATAATATGGCGGGGAAGGGAACAAATGAAAGTGCGGCAATATTTCTTTGTTCGCGCAGCCAATGGAGCGCAGCCGACGTTGACGCGTCTTGCCGAGCTTTTTGTGGCGCTCTTATTATATTCTTTGGAGGCATTTTTTGGATGATCTTATTTGTAGCTTCAGTACCTGGCCGTAAATCGGCGCTGCCGTAATATGGGCAGGTGGGTTATCCGTTTTCGTATCCACCTTTGAAATTCACCCGTCACCTGAATTTATACACTGTATAACAGAGATTTTTTGTTGTGAAAGAAAACAAAGTATAATTAAAGCAACTAGATCACGAATGAATCGCAGCCAGCATACTATTTTCAAGGCGTCAAATTAATTTCGAATTTAAGCTTGGCCCATTTATAACATTCACGAATGTAAATGAACGCTTTCGAGTTACTTCGTTTACGTGAGAATATTTGTATTTATTTTATTTATGGAGTGAGCGGGCGCGAGGGCGATGTGTTTAAATATCTTTAGATTTAAATAAGAGTTCAGTTTGAGTAAGTCAGAGATCCATTAGGTTAATATTGCTTATCTTTTGTATAGTATGGTGCTTTGGGAGTGTTTTTACCGTGCTTAATTAATTTGTTAGGTCTCTGGTCCATGTTAATTATAGATTGGGCCTGCGCTGCGATCTCGGTATCTGTCAGGTCGGGTTTTTGACGCTGATGCCTTTTGTCGGCCTTCAGGCTTTATCTCCTTAAGTGCACATGTAACGAACAGTTTCATGACCAGTTATTTAAGGGTGCGCTGCTGATTTGTTATTAGCGGGATCGTTCCGGTTTTTGATAATTAGCTAATGATACTGTTATTCCTTAATTATTTGATTTATTCCGTTCAATAAAATTTCCATACGTTCGTACGTTCATGCGTTATGGGTAGTATGAAAATCAAGTAGTCAAATATGATTATAGAGATACAGGTAAGACAGCTATCAAATTTAGAGACTGAAATTTAGCTTCTTTGTTATTAATTTGTGGCTTCTTGAGGTATTTTTCGTGGAATATTATTTATTTCGCATCAAGAACGATAGGGATTGTAAATAGAACACTTGAACAATTTGTAAATTAGTTTAAAACATATTTATGCATTAGTTAATATTGAACTATGAGCGAACACGTCATGTTTATGATCGTATCATCATGTGGGATTTTCAAATTTTTTTAAATCTTTTTCCAAAAGGTTGCTTCGAACAAACTGATTTTAGCAATAAGGTAGTCAAATGTCTTTCACATTTGACGATTCCATACGGTCTCCGATTAATTTGAGCGCCGATATCACCGTAGATACTATTTTGATTATAGTATTTAACATTCGGTTAAAAATAAATTGGTATGTCGTTTCAGTCATCGGTTAGTTCGTGTACTCGATCTAAACTATATTTGAGGCGCTGTTTTTCCCATCTGGCGCCGCTGATGATTTGGTCAGAAGTCACGTCACGATGCTGTTCAATAAGATACCGCGAATAGAGTTTACTTAATAGTCTGGCGACTGAATTATAACTACGATTCTGATCTGTCTTATTGTCTCGCTCAAATTATGTTTTTCTTTCAGCCTTTATCACACACGGCGAGTTTTCTTCTGTGTCCCTTCGTTTATTGTACTGTAAGACATATTTCCGTTACTTTGGTTTAAAGTGATAAAACTGGTCTAATAGCGAAGTACTAAAAACAACTGTAAGATATATTCTGAAATCTTTAATGATGCGTAATCTTTAATTCAAAGTGATATAATATTTCTATGCCAAAGTTAACATGTTCGGTAAAGATTAAAAGCCAACGATTCGATTCCATTAAATGGTTGCCTATTGTATGTTCTATATATACATTTGCAAGACATTCCAAAGAAGGGAGTCATTAAGAGCGAGCTGAGTTATTGCTTCATAAGAACTTCTTTCTGATGTCAACTTTAAAATTTAATGCTGTAAATTGTCGGTTATATTCCTGACGATTACATGCGCGCTAACGAATTTATGTCTCACGTGCCTTTTGCGCATTTTGTGAGCATCATAATGTCTCCAGTCAGTATTTTTGGATATTTATACGATACGAAGGTATCCGTGAAAGACGTTTCGGTAAAGGATGTATCGTATTTATTAAAACAAAACGACCAATAAAGTAAAGAATGGATGTCAGGATATAATTGAAATTTATATCCAAAATAGCGATTATTTATTGCTCCGTCGATAATCCTACGAACGCCACTACGTTTATCAGGTATGTTCAAAATTGTCGACTGGTACAATATTCTGTGCGGCGATTAATCAAACGACTAGATAAATAACCTAGATAAACCAAATTATCGAATAATGTAAAAAAAATTCTTTGTCAGCCAGGAAAATCAATTTAACTTACCTACTGATAATAGAAATAGAATGGTACACGTGAATACTAAAATACTTACATGAATCTGATTCCGCTGCCATTGAGTAAAACATAAATATTATTGTATAGAAGGCTGTTCGCGATGAACTTATTTTTCCGACTGTCGACAGTTATTTCATATAAATTAATGGCGCGAGTCGTCACGGCGCAGACGCCGCGTTCTATTTTTAAACTGACGAATGAGAGGAGCCGAGCGCACGCGCCCGATTCTCGTCATATTCCAATTACAAATAGCTGTCATCGGGTTCACATTCCCAGCGTGCTCTGTTTCTTAGATTTCAGGTAAACATATTCGTATACGGTTTTCCCTGTTCGTCTGTCAAAACTAAATATAAGCTCGGAGCGTTGTAAATGCTAAACAGCGGAGTGTACTCGATGAAAATAATTGGAGCGCTCCCCGCCCCGGTAGGTGTAAGATAAATTTTCACGAGAGAAGCTCGTAAAGAAATAGAATTATGAATTATGACATGTAGCGAAGCGACGGGCGTCTCTGTTTCTCGTGAGGAGACGGCGGGCGAGGGAACGAGAGGCAGGGCGGTGCGCCGCGTCGCTCCGGCGGCGGAAGGGTTATTATATATGAATTATGATGACGCCGCAACTCCGTCGACGGTAATATCGTTATGAATATGCCGTGTTCTCCTCGCCCATTGGCGGGAGGCACATCCGCCTCGATTGCGCGGGAACGCCTCCGGTGGGTTTTTTTCTTCCTTTATTGACATTCAGATATGCACACGCGAGTGGCGTTGCACAAACTGCAATAATTCGCCTGGTACGGAGATAAGTCTGGCGGACGGGCGGCATCGAGCATTTGGGATGCAAATACAGCGGGCTGTCGTATGTAAACGACCTTTGGTACCGACGCCGTAGGGGCCGCTATGGGACCCACTCAGACGCTTCCTGCATTATATCAATTTGCATTTCAGGAGTGATACGTACGCGGACGTGATATAATTCTTCATATTCACTACTCAATGATGCAGTCAAGGTAAATGTAAATTTTTCAGTAATTGAAACTGTTTTTTTAGGCTTGATTAATAGTGAAACTTTTTGAAACGGTTTCCTTCAGAATGCTAAACCTTTAGTTGTGGGAGCACGTTCTAAATTAGGCTAGTCTTTTAATGTTCAGTTTGTTCTCAATCTTACTAGTAATAGAGGGCGTCACGGGTGGTGACGTTAGGGCAGATTAGTTCAAATATTTTTTTTGGGAAAATTAGGTTTAAGCACTAATTATGTCTTTAACTTTTCTTTATTCACCTAAAGCTACGAGTAATATTAATGTAATCATTTACAGATGTTAATGATAAATTAACTTTAACTATTGGCTTTCCGTGTTTATTGAAGTGCAAGTGTAATCATTGGTAAGTTTTTTTAGTGTATACCAACCGAATAACGTGCAATGACACCCATGTTGGTGGGCGTCAAGACCCAGAAGACTGGACGAGTGGACTTCCACTTCACGCTTGTCTTCTGGAAGCCATGGTATTTCCCCGGACGAGCCTGCCCATTAGTGCAACAGCCGATGCTGCTGTGTGGTCTTACTGACTTGTATGACCTGCACGTAAGACCTAGTAATTAGTAATAGTTGTCGACTATTTGTCAGTTTTCGTTTAACACTAATATTTTAACTTAACCTTTAGCCAATAAAATGTTCACCCGAAAGGTCGCATCGATTAATTTGATATAGTGCTTACATTTCATAAGCTCGTGATTGGAAAATTACGAAGGGATCGATTACATATTTAAATAATGATTAAGTTCCCGCGCAAGCTCGTTGGGTATAGCAGGTCATGGGTTCTGATCTCAGCCAAAGCATTTAGAAGAAAATTCATCCTTTAGAATTTCATTGTAACAAAACATTAAAAGCCTATACAGACAGTTCATTCAATAAAAATACATCAACAACAGTTTATATCCTCGCCGCGACACAATAAATTATAAGAACACGATGATTTACTCTCGCGTATATTAAAATGATGACATTATTGTTACTCTTTTGTATTCATTAGAAGTAGCATGCACCTGCAAAGATTTTCCATGTTTTACCTAGATATATGCAAATTCCAACCTTCGTTATAAATTATATGGCATACTTACAAGCGTCTTATGAGAAGTCATTACGAGTTCTAGATCTTATAAGTCAACAGTCCAGTCGGAAATAATATTCCCTCGAAATGAATTGCTTTATAATCGTGGAGTAACATTGCTTTCGACTACAAACTTACACTAAAGAAAACTTCACGTTTAGTGTATCGTCTATAATGTTTTTTTCTCCATAAAAAGTACTGTAAACAAATATTTGCACCACCGATCAGCAATTAAATATTCCAAAGAAACCGAAAGACTATCTATAGAATACCTATAGTTAATTCTATTAAAATAAAATTTCAACCTTTTGTGTTCAAAATAATTTTTTCATAAATTATCCCTATCATACATACTGGTCAAAATCTCTAAATACTGGTGTATAACGAACTGAAATAGCGCTTAAAATAACTAAACGTTCTATTTATAGCATGTGCGCTTAGTTATCTGCTAGTTTTTTTTTGTATTGACAAATTGCGAACACGAAGGACGCACCGTTTCCGCGTGTCGGGTAAAGTGGGTTGCGTGGCGCGGTGCGTGCAATAGTGGCATTCACCTTGTTGGCGGAGCGCCAGCACTGGACGCCCGCTACCGTGCTTTCCTCTCGTACGGGTGCTATCCACATAACGTTAGCCGGCGTTCTTCTTCAACATTTAATAAAAGTACGCAACGGCGTGTTAGCTCAGGGGCCATGCTGGCTTAAATTCAATACACTCCAGCGACCTGAGTTCAAATCGTTTTAAAAGCTGACTCATCACGTGCTCAGCGGTGATGAAAGCGGCGTGACGGAATCTGCATGTTTTCGAAATGATAATTTAGAAAAAATATTTATATAAGGACTTATATTATATAAGATATCTGAAGTCCGCCAATCTGCAGTTGGGTCGCGTTACGGACTATGCCCGCATAGAGGAGGTCTTTGCTCAACAGTGGACATAGTGCGACATGTATAGGCTGTAACTGTACTTTTTTACATCTAGGTAACGCGTCTTTACCCCAATGGAATTTGAATCCCAACTGTCGGTTTTAACATGAATATCTAAACGTTATTCGAAAATAAGGAGAACACGACGTTTGCGGTGGTTCATGGCATAATCAAGTGGGCGCCATCTATCGCTGGATGGACGAACTACGAATTCCAATAGAGTCTTAATTATTCCTAAGCATTGTGTATTGGAGTTGTGACCACGCGCAACCGCCGCGTGCAATATAACGCTTAGTTAGTTCGCAATCTTAATTTAACAACGGGCGTCCATTACAAAACGGACACGCCTATTTGATCGTATAAAACATAACAAAAAGTGTTTATTCCACACACACGCACATATTCATTACGGTACATTTACGGATGGAACAAGACGTAATAAAGAGATTTCCTTGTTAGTTGGGCCGCAGAGGAATGCGACGGTGGCCGGCGTCGCTTCTTTCTTCTGGGAAAGCTGTGAATTTGTCAAAATTAAAATACAAAGGCCTCGCTGGCCCGGCGCTGGTAATTAATAAAAAGCATGGCGGAAAATAATTGCCCATTGTTACCCGAGCGCCAATAAGGGGCGAGAGATTTCGTTCCGAGCGAGAGTAGATGATTTCGTAAGAGAATAATCTCGATATTTAAATTCAAAAATTCAACTTTTATTCCTGTTCCCGGCAATCGGTCTAAACGACCGGGAATTGCAAAGTTGTCAGAGTTTTTCGTTGGAGTTTGTTATTGAATGTCATTATAATCCTTTTAAGCAGATCAAATGGTTTTGGGCTTCGAGTGTATACTAAATGATTGTGACATTTTGATTACCTACATGCCGTTGTCTTTCTTAAAAGTAAAGCTTTTGTTTCTGGAAAGTGGCCACCTACTTGTATACCACAAAAATTTATTATATAAACATAAAACGTGTATACAGATACTACAAATTTTAAATAAATAAGAAAAGTATAAGACAATACGAAAATAAATTAAAAAAAGACGTGTATGTACTTATGTACCCATATAAGAAATTATAGTTATTTATCTCTACTTCGTAACACAAGAAAAATAACTAAAATTTAATCACCTGTGCCATTACTCTTTATTTGTGAAAAATATATTGATAACAGTTTAATTAAATAACTTGGAATAATTATGTCTAGGTAAATGTCAAAAAGTTGTAATTGGTTGCCATGGGTATGATATACCGTGAAGATGTTCGCTTTGCAATCAACTTCATCATGCCGCTTTCGGTGTGTATTTTTTCAAACGCGCCAAAAGAAGTATAACTACAAATAGAAAAAAAAATTCACACATGCATTTGGATCGGTTACGGCCTCCTAAAATTGTTTAAGGCAAAAGCTTAAGGGGCAAATTAAAATCAACCTTTAAATGCATAAATCTATGCGGTACGATGGCTCAATGGATGTTAGCTAAGTTAACATGGTCTTAAATCGTTTATACTCGTAAGTCGCTTAATACTTTGCCATGTAGCGCGAATCCTTGTGCGGTCTTGTTAGGAGCAGCCCGGACTGGTAAAGAACTCGCAAATCTGTCATGTCCACCACTTTAACATCGACTTAAAGGCCGCCTTGAAAATTAATAAGTATTCGCACATCCTGCGCTTTTCCCATTTAATGTAATCAATAAATAAAACTGGATATCGCTATCGTTAGTAGATTTGAAAAAGAATTACAAACTTGAAGCGTCAATAAACAACATAAATATTGTATTCTTTTTATTTATTATACTTTCTTAATTATTGTACACAAGATAAAATCAAAAACAAAGTTAAGGTTCAAAAATTTGACTATCTCATGAAACGTTGTGTATAGTTTAAAATAGGAATTATTAATAAAGAGACCTAAGAAGTATTTTTTTTTTCATATTAATTAATAGAAGTAGCTGCCAACCATTACAATTTCACGTAAAGAAAAAAATGTTAATAATTGTTTTTACATTTCATTCACAGAGAATATGATTTTAATATGTCATAAAAAATCCTAGGTCACACGTAGGTTTCTAAAAAAGTTAAATGGTTTTAAAAATATGGTTTATTAAAGCGTGGAGGACAAGCATACGAACATTGATTTTATACATGATTATAAGGAAGTAGAAGATCATGAACAAAAATTCTAAAGTAGTAAGATGAAAATGATGAAAATTGAAGACATCATCGCATTATTTATCATTTATCAGCTCACAGCATCACCTTGCGTGCTATAGAACTTAGCGCTATAAGGTAGATTCAAGAAAAGTAATATCGTGCCTGAAATCTTCTACTTTTCAAATATTTATTGTTGAATTTAATTTCAAAAACTTTTACAACTTACTTAGATAAGACATCGCGATCTTCGCGCGGTGCGAACATCGACCGCTGAGTTTAGTGGATAAAGCGTCTAGGCACATCGCCCGGAAGGTGAAGGTTAAGCGTAAGAGGAATAATGAACATTGCAGTAGACATCAAACTAATTTTAACAATCATCTGATTGACAATCGACGAGCCTATCACTGAAACTGTATACTTGCGTTGTAAATAACGCGTTACACGTGAGCATTAACAAATTAACGGGACGAGTGCTAAACGATTCGATGAGCAGTCATTAAAACCAGTCGCAAACATTATTGGCTAATAAGCAAGTAGCAAGTTAAATTAGTTACATATGGACATGTCCTCTAATTAAGCGAACCAAATTTGAAATTGCGAGATAAAAACACAATTATAACGAAATCGCGCTACCAAAGTTGGGCACGGCGCATCCGTGGTTGGAAACAATTTTGACAGCAAACCTCATCGGTACAGAAGACAAAATGGGTTATAAAATCTTAACAATACGCACGCAAGAACGCATAAAAGTTGTCGAAAAAGTGTCTTTATCTTTGTATTAACTTTAATTATTCTGCTCGATCGGTTTTATTTCTTTCTTGCATTGTGTGCGTCCGCGTTTTTGGTATAAGCGGGTAAATCATGTCTCTAAAAACTATATTGTCCCTAATAAATGCTTTAGTAAGCCTGAGGACTTTTGAGATGCGTTGACATCTTTTTAAAAAGCGCGCGCCTGTTAACTCATTCACCAGAAGAAACGAGAAAGTATGATATTTCCACCTCACGCCAGTCTTCTGTGAGGCCGTGGTACTTCCCCAGATGAGCCTGCTCATTCTTGCTACTTCAACAGCAGCTTCTGCTGTTGCACGAATGGGCAGGCTCTGGCTCTACCACAGATTTATTCATACCTCGTATATTAATAATGAATACCTTTTCCTTTGAAAATTCTTTGGCAAATCATTTTTAATTAGATAATCATATTTAATAAGATAATCTTGCAGTGGTAGGGCCACGCAGCACCCTCTTCTGTTGCACGAATGGGCAGGCTCTTCGGGGTAAGTACCACGACCTCACAGAAGACCAGCGTAAAGTGGAAGTATGACAAATATTTTCGCGTTTCGTCTGGTGAGTGAGGTGGCCGGCCCAATTTTCGAAAGGTTGTCAACGCAACTGTAACCCTCGGGTGTAGCAGATGTCCATGGCCGGTGGTATTTACTTAACATCAGGTGAACCGTCTGCTCGTTTGGAACCTTTTCACATAAAAAAAAATATTTAAACAAAGACGCAAAGTAATTTCCAGTATACGGTTAATGACCTCTGCAACTTACAGCGAAATTTATTTAATTATTGGTTTAAACCTTTGATTGAAAATTATAACAAAAACAGTGTTTAATTTTCTTTGTCTGAGTACACGTATTTATTAATAGTTTTCAAATTCACGTCATAAATGTTAAGTTCATATTATAGAAAATCGAAGGGGCTTTAATATTTTATTTATATGACGAATTTACGTCCATCAAACAAAGATAATTAGTAAATACATTCTCTGTGGTGTCCATTAAAGCAGCTTAGAGAGATCTATGAGGGAAAATATTTCCTATCATTTTAAAACATATTTTGAAAATTAATGTTTGTGGTTGTGCAAAACGTTGATAACACGACTCAGTGAAGTCAACTTTTACAGTTGATTTAGTCTGGATAGATATTTGTAGAAGACATGTTTTGAGGAAGGTGGGAACGATTCTTATTGGGCTATATACAATCGGAAGCTAAGAAATTATCACCAACTCGTAAATTATCGTTCCTTATCGATCTGCAAGCTTGAAAACTTCACCATTCTCACAATGTTATGCACTATTGATTGACAAGAAGGATCAAAATTATCTGATGGCGTCTGCGGTGTAGACTATACGAAAGTTATTTAAAACGTAACAAAATGTTTTAAATTTTACTGCTGATTTTATGTTGAATTCTTTTTAACGGGTGAGCTTGTGAGTGTGTATGATACGTAAGTGTGCATACTTACATTAGGGTATCAAATATATCAGTATGCCATTATGGTCCTTATGCCAATAGGGCGAAGGTTGATAACGCGCAGCGGTTAGGAGAGAAACTGAAATTTGCCTGCTGGAAGTGGCAGTTCCGAGATAAGATCTCACGATGCCGCAATAAAAAGCCCTCGTAGTTGGTCCGTTGTGTAATGTGCATTCAAATTGCATTGTGCGCGAACTAATTCGCCTTAGGCCGATTCGCATGTTACGATAAACACATGTTCCGATCGAGGTAACGCCTCGTTGATCCGGTGTCTCAAGAGCACAGCTTGAGACAAACGGTTCCATAT